AAGAAGTAGCTCAGACTGAGAAAGTACCTCCTTCTACTACAACAAGTTCTCCCTCAACTTATACCAATGGCTTTATGGGGAGTTTCTCTATGATCTACTGATTGTAAAAGAAAAAGATTCCAAATGGTTTCTAGATGTTATGTATGATCTGATCAAACTATTCAGAGATAACCCTGGAAAGACAGCGGGGGTGAAAATTTCATGCACTGGACATGAAAGAAGCAGGAACTAGAGGTTTGGATTTACACTGATTATAGGATTATAAGAGTTTATTAGATGGAAGGTCAAGGACATGAAAGAACAAGAGAAAAAAGTTGGTGACAATAATGTCTGGGGAAGTGGTATGTAAGGACTTCTCCACATAGTTAGAAAACGTGCCATATGAATGCTTACCAAAGGGCATCTGCTACAGAGAAGTCAGACAATTAGGTAGAGAAGATGATCTATCTGTAAATGTTTCAGCTTCTTCTTGTAGTCTTCCCAGTCCTTGCTCAGTTGGCTTATAAAGTAGGTGGCCATGGTGGCAATGAGCTCAATGACACAGACTTTCTCTCACCAAAGTTGATCTGACTATAGCCGCTACTGAGTACCTCACAGCAGAGACCAATAGAGTCCCTGATATGGCAACATTCTCCAGGAGGAACAGCCGGCCACCTGGTAACACTGTACATCTTCCATCGTGGAAGAGGCAGTGGTTCTTCATAGGTAGAGCATTTGATTCTTACTCTACCTGTGCATTTGCTTTCCCTGACTACAGTGCTTCTGCTAAAATCTCATCTGCAGATTTACAGAATGCCACATTCCTGTCAGTATTGCACACGGTATCATTTCTGACTAAAACCCTCATTTGACAGGCACAACAAAAAGGTAACAGGACAATGCTCAGAGAATCCACTGGTCCATGTACTCCATCATTCTGAAACAGCCTGCCTGTGGGGATTGGTCTGCTTAAGATTCATTTTGCCAAATGCTGGGTTATACCTTGTGGGCCTGAGCACTATTTTACAGGCTCTAATATATTCCAATATCTGGTACTAATTCTCTTATAGGTGGAATATACAGGTCTGGGAACCAAAAGTTGTAGCTCTTCTCACTATTACCCTAGTGACACCGTAACAAAACATTTGCCTCTTGTTCCTGCAATACTAAAATCTGCTAGTTAAGACATTTTTTATTCTCAAAGAAAGACTTCTACCAGAGAACACAAATATTCCATAGAACAGGTAAAATGTTAATCTCAAGGAACTCATAGCATCATTATTTTCTTTGTTGCTGATCTTTTTTAAATTGCAACAAACAAAATTCAACTCACGTATCCCAATATCCAAAACGCATACCACTTATTCGAATAACTAGGATTTAATTTCATAGTTTTGCCAATTCACCAATAATCCAAATGTCCACAATATATACTTTAACATGCTCTGTAATAATTGGTTTTCCTTCTGAAAAATGGTCTTCAAATGACAGATAAAACTTTAGTGAATGTAGAAAAGGCACTTAACTTGTGGTACAAAGAATACAGAACTTTCTAAAGGAACATGACTCAAGTGAGTATTAGAGTCTGAGCAAGTGTTTCTGTATTAAAAAACTTGGGGATTCCCAAAGATGTCTGGGTGTATTTGAATTTTACACCATCACTGAACCCCAGACTAATGGAAATTAGCAATTCTAATCCTAACTACATCTTGCAATGGAAGTTAGAAGACATTTTTTCTTTCATTCTGTACTTATTTAAAAATATATAAAGTTAAAATTGTAAATGTTAATACATTTCTTTTATTAAACAAAGATTTACATTTCCTTTTTTTGTGACCTCATCCTCAACAAAACTGCATTGAATATCTATATGAGAAGATTAGGTATTTATATTTTATTTTTTCCATTACCATGTATCCCTTCAATGCTCTCTTCCACTTCCTCCCTTACCCTAACAATCACACTATTGACCATGTGGATGAGTTCTCTTTCTTTTTTTTCCCAATTCTCCCAGCACCCCTGTCCCCCACCCAGAGCTGTAATGAATATATATATTTCACGTTAGCTGACTGCCAAACTGACACTTGAAATACTGAACAAAGCGAGTACAAAGGACTACATGTAGCCAAATAACAAGAAAAGTATGTTTTTAATCAAGGAACTTGGAAAGGTGAGTGAAGACCGTCAGAGCATAACTATAACTGGAAAGACTAACAGAGCCATTTTTTTTTTTTTTTTTTTTTTAATGAACAGAAATAAGTATTCTGTGGTGACTTGATAACGAAGAATGTGATCACTGAGTATATATTCTGCAAGGCACTGTTCTAAAAATTGACTAATTAAAGCTCACAAAAATCCCATGAGGAGTTCATTATTTTTACTCTCATTTTACAAATAAAGAAAGGAAGGCAAGAGGTTAAGTAACTTGCCATCAGATGTCACACAGTGCCAAAGCAAGGATTTGTCTGGCTTGAGTTGTTCTCTTACCCAAGCTACATACTAAAGGCTGGGACTAGAGTGAGGCAGGCGAATCACTTGTCTTGGGTGCAAAATTTAAGGTGGTGCCAAAAAGAAACATCAATGATCAGATAAATATTTTAATGCAATATTTTTAAAAATTAGAATTAATGCAAGAATTCCATGATGAACAAAATATCCAAGTTTTAAAAAAAGATAGAATGAGAATTACTGATTTTTCCTTTTGCCTTAGGCTCCTATGTGGCTTGGCATTGTTGCGTGTCCTATCTTTATTTAAAATCTTGTGCTCTAGGCAAGGGAATCACTCACCTCATTCCCCTCACCCTAGTCTGGGCCCTGCTATAGCTCAAAATATAACCCACACCAAATTTTTCCTTTATATTAAATCTTGAGTTCCAATTAATGGACTGGCTAATTTGATCACAGTAGTAATTATCTGAACTAGTGATTCCATCTTTCTGAAATATTCAAAGGCAAAAGCCTTCTATGTTGACTGCATATTAACAATGAATATTGAATAATCAAAGCATTCACATGTTAAAGATGCAAACGGAAATCCACCTTTGGCAAAATTCTATGCTTAGCCTTAGTTGACTGCACCTCAATGAATAATTAGGTATGCATTTAACAAATGTTTATTGAGCACTTACTATATGCCTTGTGTAAATTAGGTGCTTCAAGAATAATGGAAATCCATACAACAGAAAATAAATTACTGGTTGCCAAGGTCTGGAGGGGAGGGGAAGAGGTGAAGAATGGAAAGTGTTAATAGGCGTGGATTTCTTTTTGGAGGGATGAGGATGTTCTGAAACTAATTATGATGGTGACTGTGCAACTCTGTGAATACACTAAAAACTATGAAGTTGTACTCATTAAATAGGTGAATTGTATTGATGTAAATTATATCTCAATAAAGGTGTTATTAAAAAACAAAACAAACAAAAAAGAAAGAATGGAGTGAAAAGTGGGAGCAGGAAAAAACGACTTTTTGATATATATCTACTTAGGAGGTAATTATGGGGTACAATTTCTAATTTAATCCTCACATTATCCCTCTTTTGTAGATGGAAAGAGTAAGGCTCAGAGAGGTTCATAATTTATCCAAGGTCATCCATCTAGAAAGTAGCAAAACTGAATCCAAACCCAGAACTGCTTAACTAAACAAACAAACAACAACAAAAACACCTGCTATTATTTATTTATTTTTAATCCTCACCTGAGGACATTTTTCCATTTTTTGTGTAGATAGAGTGGGAGGGAGAGAGAGGAAGAGAGAGTGAGAGAGAGGAAACATCCACGTGAAAGGGACACATTGAGTGGCCTCCTCCTGCATGACCCAACCAAGGCCGGGGACAAACTGTAACCATGATACATGCCCTTAGCGGGAACCAAACCTGGGTCTCTCTGGACTGCAGGTTGATGCTCTAACCACTAAGCCAAACCGGCCAGGGCACACCTGCAATTATACTGAGACCATTCAAAATTCTACAAAGCATTTGAGGCTACCTAGAAAATATTTATGGTAAGTGGGGAAGTGAAAATATAAAACTGCTTACTAGATTCAAACCATGTAAAAATATGTTTACATGTGGACAAAGAGTAAAAGGAAATCAGAGGGTAATTGTAGTTGATGGTAAACTTCTTTAGGAATTGTACAATATAATAAAAGGTACAGAAGGAAATCAGTTAAAACTGGATAAAACAAATCTAAGTGTCACACCTGCATCTCTCACTATGTAAAATAAACAGAAAGGTGTTCTATATATGGTATGCTTGATACAGAAATCGAAGACTTTCAAGAAAGACTTTAGTTATGATTAATCTGAGCTCCCACATCCTGAGGTCAATGGTTTGGTTACTAGTAATACTCCAAACAACAAAATGCTATCATTACACATGACCTATCCAAATGTATAATTGGAACTAAAACCTGAAGTTTATACCTATAATTTTACAAAAGGTCACAGCATGGTCACTGAATATAAATAAAACAATCACATATTTTTTGGTATTTTCTTCACATATTCAGCAACCATGCATTTTATTCTTTATATTTAAGGATTTCAACTTATTTCCTATTTAAGAATACCAAATTCTGACTGACATTTCATTAAGATACAAACTTGGTTGGTGAACATGAATTCCAATAATTTCTTGAAAGTCTTAGGTCTGATAAGTGAAAAGAAACAAGACATCTAGGAGGGAGTTACTGAACTTTGAAATATTTAACAACAAAGAGAACAGTAATTTTACTAAAAATTAAATTTATCCAGTCACAGTATATAATCCCTTAGTCTGAGAAACATTAAGCCTTCAACTTTTTAAAAATGCAAGAATGTTAAAATAGCAAACTAGCAATAATCCTAGATAAGATACAACTGTTTAATGTCACTATTTCTCCAATTTCAAAGATAAGTGGTACCTAATAATTGGTTAGAAAAATCTACAAAACTACTACTGGTTTTCATTAAATTACAATTGATAGCAGAATGTATTTACACCTTTAAGAAACAAGCAGCATCCTAAAGGAAATTAGGACTTACTTGATAATCATTTCTCTTAATATTTGGAACATCCATGTTGTGAGTAGAAGGGCAAATATCTTCATATTTTTTGCCGGTGAAAATATCAATTCCAACAAGGTGAACCTAACAGAGAAGGGAGAACAGAAAACCCGTTTAAACTTTGCCAAGTATATCACTCATTACATACAAAGAGCACAATATCAATGCGGATTACAACAGATTCTTTCTCCTTCCAAGGTCATCTAATTTCACTTTCTTTAACAACAACAACAAAAAAAGTAGTGGTCATGGAATTGAGCAGTGAATAACTAAATGGTATCGATACATCAAGACCCAAATCATATACGGTCCAATAATTAAATTATAAGAGGGTATGCGAAGTTAGGTTTTAAAATTATGTTAGAACAGGTTTTCTCATCTGTAAACTGAACAGATCTTCTAAGTCACTAGGACTCAGGAAAGTTTCAATTCCCAATTAATGAAACGTTATAAGGGCCCAAGAAGGAAATGCTATCTTTCAGTATTCAAAGTAATAGATACCCTAGTAATTGTGGGAAGAAGAAGAAAAAAGTGCTCATTACAAAGTTATAAGTATAGAAGTCTTACGTTCTGTAATATAATACAAATGATCAAAATCTCAACGCAAAGGCAGACCTGGAAGGGCACTTACCTTGGCATGACCGTGCTTTCCAGTTTTGGAAGTTGACATCTCTACTATTTTGCATGGTCGTCCCTTGAGCACCACAAAGCCGTTTTTGCGCAGGGCTGAGCACTGCATAGGGTATGTGCTGGAAGCCCCAGCATCTCCAGTAGTGAAATCGATTTCATCCGCCATGGGTGGGCTGGGGAGGTGGTCCCTTTTCCGAGGGAACTACGCAAAAGTTTGTGTTTGCTCTCTAATAACGGGCACAGAGGTAAGGCAACATCTCATTTCAGACAGGTTACGAGCCAAGGATCATGAATCTATTATTTTTGCATTTACAGAATACCCACCCAAGAGTAGTGGACACTTGCTAACTCTGGCCTCTACAAACTTTTCCATCCACTGGTCGGGAGGTGGGTGGGAAGTCGCAGGAGAGCTCGCTGGGATGGGGAAGACCCACCTCGGCGCGCACCCGCGCTGGGAGCGGCAAATCCCAGCCCCCGCCGTCCCACCGCAGGAGAACCCGGCGACCTTCCCGCACCGCGCCGCACCACCCGGCCCTCCGCCGCCGCCCTGATCTCCACTGCGGGGACCCAGCCCAGGCCGCACGCCCCCGCGAAGGATGGGGATAACTCCACCCGACCAGCAGCACTAACCCTCGAGCATGGGGCGCGCACTCCGCCCCCCGCCGCGGCGCCGTAGCCCCGGCCTCTCAGGCGCCCCCTTGTCCAGCCGGCATCCCCGGCCCGGCCCGGCCCCACATGGGCCTTAGCTCTGGCGGGTCCCGCGCTCGCCTCGGTTCCCCTATCTATCCTTCGCTCGTTAGGACTCGGCTCCGGCCGTCTTCCCTGGTCCTTCCTTGCTCCGGTCCCAGCCCTACCAGTTTTTCCTTATGTTTTCACCTTTCAGCAAAGAAAGAGCGCCTTTCTCCTGCGCACCCGCGCGGTTCCCCTAGAAGCTGCGGCGGAGGTAGCGGTGGCGACCAGGGCAGTTCCAAGAGACGGGGCGGGGCCGCCACACTTCCACACCCCGGCCTCCCCGCCCTTTCCCGCCCCCACCTCAGCCCGACTTCCGGGATAGGTCCGGCGCGTCACAGGCACCGCCCTCCAGGGCTACCATTGGCTACAAGCTCCCTGAGACCCCGCCCAGTCACGTGAAGAGCGCCCTGGCAACCCCACGTGCTGCGGATTAGTGTACTTCCGGCGTGAAGAGCGCTTTCTGGAGGCTTGTCGCTGAGGGTAAACTCGCCGGCAAGGAAACTTGCTCCCTCAAACTTTTAGGTTCGTTGCGTTGGGGTTTCGTTGAAGTTAACAGGAACTAAACCACGTGCTGCGTGAACCCTGCCCTCACGTGCGTGCGGATTGTCACGTGACAGTTGTCAGCCCTTTGGAGGCGAGTGACTTCAATCGTGTCGCACGTGGCTGTGGAGGGAACTTTGGATTCGAATTTCAGCTTTCCTTTGCCGTCAAGCCCATGCTTGTTCCTCGAGGAAGAGCCCAAATGCAGTATTTTATTACCCAGCTCCACACTGTGGGCTCCTCCTGAGACCTCGGCCATCCATGCTGTCATGAGTTTATGACAGCAGCTGTCACTGGGTACCCTGCTGAAGTCAGCAGTGCACTCGGGTGGGAACTCATAAGACACCCTTTAACTAAAACGCAGCTGTGAAATGACCGAACTCACTCCTCCCAGAGGCCGTGAGGAAGTTGTAGAGGTGAATGATGTCTGACTCTCACCACATTGTCCAGTCCAGTAAGATGTGCTGCCAAACTCAGCTCTTCTTTCTTCCTGCCGTTGGCATTCCACTGAGTTAGAGGCATGTCCATACCTCATTAGAGCAGTTAGGTGGTCGTCACCCTACATGCAGCCAATAGAGACTTGCATAGGATGAAGGACGAACGCTCTTAAGAGACGTGCTCCTCTTTTCACAATGCATAACACTTTCTTCCCTCGGAAAGGTGACTCCATACCCCAGTTTATGTGGGTGATATTGTATTGCTCTCTTATGAATTGTCCCATTTCTCACATTCCTATGTGGCTCTACAGTTGACACAGATATTTCACACATACTGTCTAACTTAACCTTTGCAATGAACAAGTGAACTCCCGTTAACAGCTCAGTCTTTAGCTAATATAGAAAGAGCCAGATTAGAATCCTGGTTTATGAGCCTACTCTGCTCTTCCTTACACCACCTAGCCTTTCCCTGTCTGTTGTTATTCGAATGATTGCTAATGTTTAGAAGTATTTATGTAATCAGGAGGTGCATTCAATGTTTTATGTATATTATTCCTTTAATCTTGATCTTGACTGTTAACATCAGGTTCATTAAGTTATGATTTATACAAAGTAAAATTTATCTTTTTTAGTTATGAGTTTTGAAGAACATAGGCAGTTGTGCCACTCCCACTATCATCAAGATACAGAATATTTTCCTCATTCTCAAAATTTCCCCCTGCCCTTTTGTGGTTGTTTCCCTCCCCCACACCCAGCCCCTGGTAATTATTAACAATTATTCTTTTATATACATTTTTAGTTGTGGAGAATAGCAGAGAATATTTAATTTCCCCAAATCACACAGCTAGCAAGTCAGAAGGCCAAGACTGGCAGTTTGGCTCCACAATCACTGCTTTAACTACCACTACCAAAACACTAAAAGTAAACATATAAGTTGAAAAAGGGAAATAGAAAACGGATACCATTTATTTTGTAAGCATTAAAATGTTGGAGTGGCTATAGTGATGTTAGATAAAGTAGACAACAAGACAGAGTATCACCAAAAGAAAAGAGACATTTCATTAGAACACATCTAATTTGCCCTGGCCAGTTTGGCTCAGTGGTTAGAGCGTCGGCCTGCAGTCCAGAGAGATCCGAGTTCAGTTCCCACTAAGGGCACGTACCTCGGTTGCAGTTTGTCCCCGGCCCTGGTTGGGTCATGCAGGTGGCGGCCACTCAATGTGTCCCTTTCACGTCGATGTTTCTCTCTCTCTCTCTCTCTCTCTCTCTCTCTCTCTCTCTCTCTCTCACTCTCTCTCCCCCTCCCACTCTATCTGCACAAAAAAATGAAAAAATGTCCTCGGGTGATGATAAAAAATTAAAAATAAATAAATAAACCATCTAATTTATGTGTGTATATGCACAAAAATACAGCTTAAAAATACATGAAGCAAAAACTGACAGAACTAAATGGAGATGCACACAAATCCACAATCATAGAGCTGAGTATTTTTAAATACCTCTCTCACTGATTTATTAAAAAAACAGACACAATGTCATAAATAATGTGGTATGTCTTAATAAGATCATAAACCACCTTGAGTTAATGGCTATTTTCAGAGTGCATTAAACCTCCAAACTGCAGAATACACATTGATTTCAAGTACATGTTGATCGTCATCCAAAATATGCTAGATCAATTTTCAGAAGATTTGTAATTAACATTTGTAATCAGTGTAATTAAATTGGAGATCAATAAGATGTATTTTAAAACTAAATATTTAGAAAATAAAACACATTTGTAAATAACATGTAGGTCAAAATAGAAAAAATAAGGGAAACGAGAAAATAAATTTAACAAAAATACAATATATCAAAATTTGTGGACTATGTCTAAAACAGCTTTAGAGAAAAGAATGATAGCTTCAAATGTTTATTTTATTTATTTATTTATTTAATTTATTTTTGTTACAGATGTTTCTCCTTTCCCCCCTGCAGACACCCTTCTCCCTATCCTGCCTCCCACTAAACATTGTTGTCTGTTGGTTATGCATACATATTTTTGGTTTATCTCATCCTTCCCCACCTCCCTTCTCCTCTGAGGTTTGTCAGTCTGAACCATACACCTTTCCATGTCTCTGGGTCTATTTTTTTCATCAGCTTTTTCTGTTCATTATATTCCACAAATAAGTGAGATCATGTGATATTTGTCTTTTTCTGATTGGCTTATTTCGCTTAGCATAATACTCTCCAGGTCCCTACATGTCGTATCAAAGGATAAGAGATCTTTTTTTCTTACAGCTGCATAATGTTCCATTGTGTATATGTACCACAGCTTTTTTATCCATTCGTCTAATGATGGACACTTGGGCTGTTTCCAGATCTTAGCTATTGTAAATAGTGCTGCTACGAATATGGGGTGCATATATTCTTTCTGATTGGTGTTTCAGGTTTCTTACAGTATATTCCTAGAAGTGGGAACACTGGGTCAAATGGCAATTCAATTTTTAATTTTTGAGGTAACACCATAGAGTTTTCCATAGTGGCTGCACCAGTCTGCATTCCCACCAGCAGTGCACTAGAGTCCTCTTTTCTCCACACCCTTGCCAACACTGTTTGATGATTTGTTGATGGCGGCCATTCTGACAGATGTGAGGTAATACCTTGTTGTTTTAATTTGCATCTCTCTGATGATTAGTGATGTTGAGCATTTCTTCATATGTCTCTTAGCCATTTGTATGTCCTGTTTGGAGAGGTGTCTGTTTAATTCCTCTGCCCATTTTTTAATTGGGCTCTTTGTCTTCCTTTTGTTGAGTTGTATGAGCACTCTATATATTTTGGAAATTAACCCCTTTTCTGATGTATCGTTGGCAATTATGCTCTCCCATACAGTGTGTTCTCTTTCCATTTTGATGGTTGTTTCTTTTGTTGTGCAGAAGCTTTTTAGTTTGATGTAGTCCCATGTGTTCATTTTCTCCTTTGTTTCTCTTGCCTTAGGCGTAATATCAGTGAAAATTCTGCTGCGTATTATATCTGAAATTTTGTTGCCTATATTATCTTCTAGGATTTTTATGGATTCACAAGTCACATTTAAGCCTTTTATGCATTTTGAGATTATTCTTGTGTATGGTGTAAGTTGATGGTGTAGTTTCATTTTTTTTGCATGTAGCTGTCCAATTTTCCCAACACCATATATTAAAGAGGCTGCCTTTACTCCGTTGTATGCTCTTGCTACCTTTGTCAAATATCAATTGAGCATAATGTTGTGGGTCCATTTCTGGGTTCTCTGTTCTGCTCCTCTGGTTTATATGCCTGTTCTTGTGCCAGTATCAGGCTGTTTTGATTACAGTAGCTTTGTAGTATAAACTGATATCCGGTATTGTGATCCCACCTACTTTGTCCTTCTTTTTCAAGATTTCTGTGACTATTCGGGGTCTTTTTTGTTTCCATATGAACTTTTGAAGTATTTGTTCTAGTTCTGTGAAGTATGTTGTTGGTATTTTGATGGGGATTGCATTGAATCTATAGATTGCTTTGGGTAGTATGGATATTTTAATGATGTTAATTCTTCCAACCCATGAATAAGGTATGTGCATCCACTTTTTTATATCTTCCTCTATTTCTTTTTTCAATGTCCTGTAGTTTTCTGCAAATAGATCCTTTACTTCTTTGGTTAAGTTTATTCCTAGGTATCTTAATTTTTTTGCCACGATGGTAAATGGGATTTTTTTTTTTTTCAGTTTCTCTTTCTGTGACTTCATCACTGGTTTATAAGAATGCCGTTGATTTTCTCTCTCTCTTTTTTTTTGATACGTGCCCCTAGTGGGAACCAAACCCAGGACTCTCTGGTCCACAGGCCGACGCTCCAACCACTGAGCCAAACTGGCCAGGGCTGCTGTCGATTTCTTGACATGAATTTTGTATCCTGCTACTTTGCCAAATGCATTTATTAAGTCTAGTAGATTTTTGATGGAGTCTTTAGGGTTTTCTATGTATAATATTATGTCATCTGTGAATAATGACAGTTTCACTTCCTCCTTTCCCATTTGGATCCCTTTTATTTTTTCTTCATGTCTGATTGCTGTGGTTAAGACTTTCAGTACTATGTTAAATAAGAGTGGTGAAATTGGGCCTCCCTGTCTTGTTCCTGTTCTTAAGGGAAATGCTTTTAGTTTTTGCCCATTGAGTATGATGTTGGCTGTAGGTCTTTCATATATGGCCTTTATTATGTCGAGATATGATCCCTCTATTCCCAC